GCACAGGGAGTCACCATTCCCAAGAGCTACTGACCCAGTGCGGTTTCATCATTTTGTGCAATTTTTTTAAAATCTATAGTCTTGAGGTGTTTTAGATAGTACTATTCCAGGAAATCTTTATCATGCATCATAATTTGCATATAGCATCTCAAAGGCTTTATTACAAGGCAGATGGTCTGGAATTTACTAAAGGTTAAGTTCTGCAATTTGGTCATTTAGAACATGGAATGCATTTTTCCACATGGTAAACAATGGTTAGAATCCCAGGCCAATGCAGTCAACCCTTCATATAACAGGGAAAATACCAGCAGTCTTTCCCCTTATGTAACCATGACACAAACCATTTTTTTTGGAGTCTCTCATTTTGGTCCCTTCCATCTCAGAACTGCTCTGGTCCCTAGGTATAAGTGGAACAGGGAGTTGGACCACGCAGGTTCTAATTGGCTCAAATCCTTTTTGTGCTGCTCAGACCCCTGGGCTATGCAAGGCAAGGCACCTCTCTCCTGCAAGAGAATGGCAGCAACAAGACACCAACCTTCTGCATGAGCAAAAGAAGGCACCTCACAAGGAGAATTGGAGGCAGACTTTCCAAAATGCTGAACCAAGAGCAGGGGCTGTACTCCTCAGCTAGCTGCAAGAGGATTCAGGTTTTTTTTTTCTTTTTGGCAGAACCAGGGATTGAACTCTGGCCCTTGTGCTTGCCAGGGAAGCACTTTTTCTACTGAGCCATCTCCCCAGCCCCTCAGGTTGTTGATAAGCCCAGAGGTTTGTAAATGAGGGGCCACATGCACAGACAGGCTTTAAAAGACTTCCAACAAACTTGAAGTTTATGTTTTTGCAAACTAGCTTTTCAACAGCTCCTCAGGGCAAAACTTCACCCGTCAGGTGAAGTGGTAGTAAAAACCTAGCCAAGGAGACCATTCTTTTTGGCAGGCCTAATTTACTGACCCTGTTAATAGCTAATTAACACATTAAAGTGCTGAGACATGAACATATTTCCTTAGAAGTTCTCTGAAGTATAATTTATAGTTACTTTCTCCGGGGAGATGTGGCAAACCTTCCCATTAACAAAAATAGATGGCAAACAGTACAAACAATCTGGCTGAAGATGATGCTCCACTGAGTCCAAGTGGTGCTTGGGAAGGGATGTCAGTTAGCAATAAACTAAACACTGACTCACTGAACTCTGAAATTTTCATCCAGTGACTTTACACTAATGAATTCTACTGGAGGAAAGCTTCAAAGTGTCCCTTAAATGTTACGTGTTCTCCAAATGATGAGTCCTTATTTTTAACGCAACCAGCAGAAATGAAAACATCCATTTGGTGGAGACAACTCACTAGGAGCACCTTAGCTGGTTCCTGGATATAAGGGAGAGAGGAGGCACTTCTCTTAGACTAGTAGCTCTTTGTACTTCTGCAAATTCTTTGAAGAAACAGCACGTGGGGGAAGGCAGGGACTTCGGATTTCAGCTTTGGTGCTTCGGTTTACCTTGATCGCATTACTAATCTCTCTAAGTCTCAGTTTTCTCATCTGTAAGACAGGGACAGATGCACCCACTTCACAGGATAAAGATCTGAGCGCAGAGTCTCACAAGTAGTGCCACAGTTACTTTTCCTGTTGCTGAGACAAAACACCCAGCATCCAAAGTTAAAGGGGGTGCTGGTGGCAGGGTGGCACATGGCAGAGGAAGACAGCAAAAAGCAGTAAGATAGTTCTTTCTGTCCCTTATCCAGTTTAGGGATTAGGGATTAGGATGGTGTCAATCCAATCAGTGGCCTGAAGCAGCAATCGCCTACCCTTAATCCCAGCAAGGCAGCAAGGCACTCTGAATTAATCATGCACTCGAGGGTCAGCTAGTCCTAAACAACTTAGGCTGTATGAGGCTTTGGGGGAATGTTGAGACACAAAGCACAAGTGGCAAGAAACTCATCAAGGCTTCCCTTGCATAATACTAAGGTTGATTTTAAGCAGAAATGATAGTTGGACTTCTAACATGGCACAACATCCAGTCTACACATTTGGCTTTGCTTAGCCTCTTCTTCCTTATAGGAAGACTGCAATAGCAATTACATCTGAAGGGTGAGAAATAAGGGATTTTGGACCATCATCTGTATCCTCAAGTTGTTTATTTGATACAGGGTCTCACTATGCAGTTCAAACTCATAGTGATCCTGCTGTCTCAGCCTCCCCAGCACTGGGATTACAAGGATGCACCACCATGCCTGGTTTTGGGGTGACAGGGTGTGCCCAAAGTTCCAGGGCTGGCATGGCATGTGGTACCAAGGATCGAACCTGGGTCCTTGCACTTGCCATGCAGGCTCTTAGACCACTGAACTATCTCCCCAGCCCTGTTTTTCCTCTAAGCACAAGATGAGTGAGAGTTATCAGCCTTCTTTTGTCCTTCTTGGATGCTGTTAGCAACCCACAGTTCATGCCTGATTTAAGGGAAAGACTGGACTTTAGGGGCCTCAAGGCCCACAGTAAGGAGGCTTTCTCCTCTCACTTCCACTGCAGTTGAGACCAGCCCCACCAGATGCCCCTGACCTGGGAATTGAGGGCAGAAAGCAGAGAAGCAGAGGGGCCTGCTCTGGAAAGCTTCATGTGCCGCTGCAGGGATTGACTCCCCTGCGTGTAAAAATGTAGCTGTGTGACCGAACTCTACTGTGAGACACAGAAAGGGTGCATTTATCATTGTTCAGTAGGAAATGCCCTCATACAGCCACAGAAGGAAAAATCACCAAAGAAGGGACTGATAAAGGCGATTACATTACACACATGTCAAAGTATGACAAAAGCCATCATCAGTGTAAAACATGAGCAACAGGCTGAGACTACACACATCTATTGCACATATACACAGAAGCCCCAAAGAGGATCCAAACAGTTCATGAAAGAACCATCCATCGATAGACAATAAGAGGACCAAATCCACTAGAATTCAGGGGGCTGCCCATTAAAATGGTAAGAAGATGAAAACTACTGCCCATATCCTGGAAGAAGCAGTGAATGGAGAGAATGTGGAGAAGCGGTTCTCACACGCTATCAGCGGAATGTGACTGGGCAGTATGAACCAGATATTGAAATGCATGTTCTACTGTTCTGGGGATACCTTTGCTCCAGGGAATAGATTGCTCATGCATAAAAAGAGGCAAATGCAAAGCATTTCAGTAAAGTGCTGATAATAGCAAAAATTTGGAATGGATCCAGACACTGCAATTGGTAAACGATTAAATAAGCCAGTTTATTCAGAATAATGAATACTATGCAGCAGTTAAAAAGTCACTCTAGGGGCTGGGGAGATGGCTCAGTGGAATAAGTGCTTCCTTGGCAAGCACAAGGGTCTGAGTTCAATCCCCGGTTCTGAAAAAAAAGAAAAAGAAAAAAGGTCACTCTATCTCAAGCAACTTGAAAAGATGTTATTAGAACATATAACTTTTTTTCCCCAAAAAAATCATTTTTTCAGACATCTACTGGGGTGGAAGTCAGTTGTTTCAGGAACCTGAGTGGAGGAACCCTGATTTTTTGCCAGCCAGGGAGAATTTTGCACTCTATTGAAAGGCATCAAAAATTAGTGGATCACAATACTGCAAAAAATTGCATGTCAAGGCACTAAAAAAGATAGTCAAGTCAGGAATCAAATTGTGTAGAATGAAAACAATGATTGTGTTGAGCACAGGAGATTTATCAGGTTATTACAGGATGAACAGTTTGAGTTGAATATGGAAGAAGCCATACAATAAAACAGAAGAAAACAAGAGATTAAGGGAAGGCCAGCCTGAACAAGAAAATTGGCTATGAAATTGGAAAAACCGAAACATGAAAGACTAAAACATGAAATGATGGAGCAACACATAAGAGAAAAGAAGGAGTTCTGAGCAGCTGGCATGAATGTGGAGAGGGCAGCCAGACTGCTGAGTGGGATGCCACTGAGCACCAGCAGATGAAAGGTGACGCTGGCATAGCCATGATGGAAGAGCACGAGAGAGCAATGGGGGAGGAAGAAACCCTATGAGACAAAGGAAACAGCACACAACTCTCTTGACTTAGAGAAACAACTTGAAGAACAAGAGAAAAGAAAGCAGGAGGCTTATGAGCAGTTGCTGAAGGAAAAACTCATGATTGCTGAAACTGTTAGGAAGATATATGAAGAAGACCCACGGAAGGACAACAATAGTTAGAAAAAATGCATGCAACTGGGAAGTACATTGAAGAGTTTCAGAAACAGCAGGCTCTGTGGAGAAAAAAAATGCAAGGAGATGGAAGAGGAAAACAGGAAAATCCTGGGTTTGCCAACATGCAGCAGCACAGAGAAGAAAAGATGGCAGACGTTCAAGAAGTTGAGGGGAAAAGGCCGCAGCTTCAAAATATGCTGATTCAGAAATTGGAAGAAAAGCTCAACAGCGTGAAGGTTTGGAATGAGTGTGACAAGAATTAGAGCAGGAAGGAGCAGCTGAAGTTTATAAGAGGAGAATGAAAGAGGCAGAAGAGAAATTGAGAAAGCAAAATGAGATGAAGGAGACCTTGAGGAACAAATGGCCTTGAAAGAACTAATACCACAGGCTGTGAAAGAAGAAGGGGAAGGCTTTAGAAAAATGATGCTAGCTAGACTTGCTGAAGATAAGCGGGCAGAACTCATGCTCAGAAACAAAGAATGAAGTAGCTGGAAGGCAGAAGGGCTGTGGGAAGACTTGGCTGAAGAGCGGAGTGACCGGCTCCTTGCAGAGAAGGAGTGTGAACTGCAAGAACAGTAGCCGCAGCAGAAAAGACGAGGGCATATCAATACAGCAAAAGAGACTAACACTTCTCAGAGAACATGCTACAGAGCTACTAGGATACCTCCCTAGAGGAATGTCTAAAACAAGATGAAGTTGACGGGCTTGGAAAGCAGTTTAGGGAAGTACATCAGAAAGGGAGTAAAATTGGTGAAGAGAAGTCATAGCAAGATTTGGTAAAACCTGATTCTTTTGTATGTAACCACTAGAATGTCAGCACAATCTCTGATTTGCAGTTGAGTGACAGTAAGACTCCACTGTCTTACTCGCATTTTCTAAAACATCACCTTATTTCATAATGTACGAACAATTGTCAGATAAAAATTAAACAACTTAATGTCTTTAACTGAAAAATCAATTTCTTTTCATTAATATACTGATCATTTGAAAGACTGGATTTCATAACATCACCCCATGGTGCAGCTCGCTCTCTCTCTCTCTCTCTCTCTCTCTCTCTCTCTCTCTCTCTCTCTCTCTAAGTACAGACCAAATCCAGGAAGCTAATTTCTCAACATCTCCTTTACTGTGCAGAGATTTTTCTGTATCCACATCCTCAAGACAGCCTATTATTCATGTTGACTAATAAAGGCTTTGGGCCACAGTGGGGAAAAAAAAATCATTTTTCCAGTCCCATGAGCACCCAGGAAAGCCATTGTGACAGCTGGGATGCATAGAATGTCACCCCCTCTGCTCCACTCCAGACCAACTCTAGGACTCCTTCCTCCCGCGTACCTCACCTAACCCCCAAATCAAGGACACCTCCCAGCTTATTTCAGATGCTAAGGGAAAAAGCCACTGTCCTGCGCTCAACAATCTCAGAGGAACATCTCTTTCTCCTCTCCCCTGTATCCCAGCTGGGTACAGGAGGAAGCTGCGCCTATCTGGCATAAGATCTCAAGCAACAGTAGTGTTACAAAGATCGCTCTTGGACAGCAACAGTCAACACCATGCTTCTTCTGAATGTAAACCACAGAAACAAGAGCCTGCCTGTTATCCACCTGGGTGCGTTTCACAGGGTCCAGGAAATTCAACAGCAAGGCTAGGAATCAACAGTGTTCCGGCTACTTCTTTTACACAACAGGACGCAGAACGGGTGCCACCCTTCCAAGGCCAGACACGTATTCCTTTATACCAGGTTCCATCCAATACTGAGTTGAGCAACAGTTTGCTTTTCGTGGCAAGCACTGTCTTAGCTGGATCAAATCTTTTATTTACCCAGCTATGCAAATAAAAACTGCAAGAGCGATAATAAAGAAAGGGAAGACACTTCAAATCTAAAAATAATGCAAATGACCCTTGTTGAAGTTTCTGCCAGAATTCCATCCAGGCGCTTGCTGTAGAATCCTGGAAGAAAAGAAGCCTAGAACTTGAGCGAGGTGCCTGGACTCACATGGTTTTCTGCAAACTAAACACAGCCAGTTTGCTATGTGAACTGAACCTATGGGTACAATGTAAGGTCTCTTGCCCAAAGCCAGGGGACCTGAGCGCACAGGACAGGCTGGGACGCAGCACTCTTGGTGCCCAGCGCAAGATCCCTGCAGGCCAACACTGCCCTCCGGGAGACTACCTAAGCTAGGAGCGCTTACTTTCCTAAAGCGTGAAGGAAGTGTTAAAGCCTAAGCGGAGAAGTCTGTAGAAACGTTCTGTAAGGAGAACACAAAAACCCGCAACATGTTTCTATTTTTCACCGCGCCTACTTTTAAGAGAACCAAGGAAGCCACCAAAGGGAGCTCAGTGCAAAGATTCCCGGGTTTCAGCGACACCCTTTTAATGAGAAGTGAGCTTTTCTGGGGGAGCCGGAGGGGAAGACCTTGAAGGTGAACTATACGCCCCATAGTCCCTGTGTCCCCGAGTCTCAGGACCCTAAGTTGCCCCCCACCCAAACGCCCACGATTGGGTGTCACCCTTCCGGGACTGTCTGCGTGTCCCCTCCCCTCGGGGTGCGCAAGGGACAATTGTCCAGGTCCTGGAACCCTGAAGTCCTCCTGCTGGGGCGGGCAGGACCAGGGAGGGCATCGGATCCTAGCGGTCCGGCCTTGGGTTCCCTTCTGGGGGTCGCGAGCCGAGGCCCGACGCGGGGGGCCTGGGGCTGGGGGCGAGGGGTGCAGACCGTCCAGAGCCAGCATGGAGGGGAACTCCTTGCAGTTGGCGACACCCGTGGAGTCGGTCACGCATATCTTCCACAGGTTGGCAAAGTAGGTGGCGGTGGTGATGACCGTGCCATCGATGGTGGACACTTTCCAGTACTCCGTGGGCAGCGTGGAGGACACCAGCACCCAGCCCGAGATGGAGACCACGAAGGCGATGATCTCCGAGGCCGTGCTAGCCATGCTGCCGCTGCGGCGCCTTCGCGCTGGCGCTGGCTCGGGCTCGCGGCCGCACAGCTCACCCGCGGCTCCGCCCCCGCC